GTTTTTTTTTAGATATTTTGTAAAACCTTAATGTATTGTAAGTTTTTTATTGTAAATATTAAATCGTCTCGTAAAATACATAGCTCTATATAATTTTTTAACTTCTACATAATAATGTCATTTTAATACAGTAATAACAAATTTACATTAATTTCAGTTTCCATTAGTCATAATTTTTTCGTTTTAAAACCATCCAACAATACCGAAAATAATAGGCATTGGCGCCTCTAAATAACAGATTTAGTCTTTTAACAAAAATCAAAATTTTTATTACTAGATTTGTGAACTAGTGTAAATTTACAAAACAGTGTTGAAACATGATTCTTTGTGGCAATATCAATCTACATAAAAATATCTTCTGTACATACGCTGAATATATCCTATTAATATTTAATTTGAATAAAAACGAAAACTTAAATATAAATCTTGTTCACACTTTCGATAAAGGCAGTACAAAAAACTTTGTTTGAAAATATTTTCCAAAAAAAACAGTTTATTGGAAAAATGTTTTATTGTTTTCTTAAAACATTCAATGCACAATGTTTTTGCGAAGTTTCTTTGCATTTGTTCAAAAAACAACCGAGATAACGGTGCTTTTATTGTCAAAGGTAGCAAAACAAGCGATCAAAAGTCTACAAGCACTTAGTATAACACATAGTTTTAGTGTAAAATTCCTGATTTTTGTGCAATTTAGTAACTAGTTGGGTAACCGTAATGCTTAAGAACTTGTACTAGACGGTTTTTTTATCGAAACTACAAGTTTACTGGTCTCCTGAGTTGTTATTTCGTCCCATTCGTTTAGGATTATGTCTTTCAGATGCTGTTTGGTCGAAAGTGAATGTTTACGAGTTTTTTTTTCCAAAAGTCCCCATAAATGTTTAATTGGATTTAAATCCGGTGATTGTGCAGGCAGTTTTAGGGCGTTATATAGCAACCAAAGACGCTAGAAATGCTAGAAACACAGAACTTGCATTCGTCGGAATAAACCACATTATTCCAAAACCCCTCCAGCATATCTACATATTTATTTACAAAAGCAATGCGCTTCTTTCGATTAATTAGAGATATGTAAGACTTCTTTCGTGCTACTCTACCATGAAAACTGGCCCATTTCAAAATTCTGCGTACGGTAACCACAGAAATATTTTTTGCAAAGCTGTATATTACGTACAATTTGTAATGCCGTCAAACGTGGTTTTTTCTTTACCGAATTTAATATTAAGCGGATTTCACGGTGAGTGAGTTTCGATAGGCGGCCAAAAATCGGTTTTGACATGATAATTCTGGTAGTTTTCCAATTTCTGATCACGGTATGGACAGAACAGTGCGATTTTCCAAACAAATGTCCAATTTTCCGGTTCGACTTCTCTTCCTCCCAAAATTTTATGATGATTTTTTTTTTTCAACGACGCTTATTTCTTTCAGGTGAGACACCATTGCCATTGTTTAGTAAATATTTTAAGCAGAATACAATTTTTTGCAGTTTTATGATTAAATACCATAAACGCAGTAAGACGCAATCCAAATTATCACCAATTAACATTTATCTCGCCTTAGAAATGCAGAAATACCAAGTGCTTGTAGACTTTTGATCGCTTGTTTTGCTACTCTTTATGATAAAAGTACCGTTATCTCGGCTGTTTTTTGAACAAATGCAAAGAAACTTCGCAAACACATTGTGCATTGAATGTTTTAAAAAAACAAAAAGTATGTCTCCAATAAATTGATTTTTTTGGAAAATATTTCCAAACAAAGTTTTTTGTACTGCCTGCTTGTAGACTTTTGACTCCGACTGTATATTTTCTGAAGCAACCATTTTCGTAGAAAAATATAGGCATTTACAAATATGCCACAAACAGAACTCTACTGGTAGTATCAAAGAGAAGGTCAAAGAGAAGGCCGAATTATGAATATTAACATACAATTTTAAAGAAGAAATTTCAACGGAATAGACATATCGATACCTATAACATGTATTTACCTACTAACTTAACATTATCAAATGCCTGGCAAACATCAACTGCAACAATTTAACAACACCGATTTCTATCTTAAAATCAGTGAACGAAAATAAACTGTATAGTATCGTAGTGTACTGCTCATGACTGCTCATGAAAGCAGTACACTAGCAGGGCAATTCTGGCAACGATATTTCGGCTCAACACACTCAAAAATATTGCGAAATAACATATCGTTTGAAAGATTTTTCGTATTCTGGCAGTGGTCTGAAAGCTCTACTCGGTCTTTCTAAAACCAAATGAAAAATCTGCTATTGATCAGATCTTTCGATTATAAGTTAATATTTTGCTTGTGTTTTTCGTGTACAAACTTCTTTATATAAAATAAAATATATAACATTAAAAATTAATTAAAATTTATAAATATGAAACAATTATTTCTAACTTCATTTTCCATACGACGCAAACGTAAATATATTGACGTACATTTTTTTGAAAAGTATTTCAAAAAAAGTTTCATTATTTGTAATTCGTAGTAGAAAGTAGAGGTGAAGAACTATCGATGGCGCTATCGATGGTTTACCACGAAACCACAACGAAAAATGTGTTGTATACAACAACCTCAAACGAAAGAGGTCAACGAGCAACAAAGATGAATCGGCTTAAATCATTTCCAAAGCCGATATTCACCAAAAAAAGATGATGCTGTCTGTTTGGAGGGATTTTAAAGGAATTGTTTTTTTTTGAGCTATTACCGGATAACACAATGATTTATTCGAAAGTCTACTGTCATCAGCTGGACAAACTGAATGATGCACTTCAACAGAAAAGGCCAGAACTAATCAACAGAAAAGGTGTAGTGTTTCACCAAGACAACGCGAGACCTCACACAAGTTTGGTCATTCTCCAAAAGCTTTTACAGCTTGAATGGGATACAATGCCACACCCACCATATTCTCCAGACCTGGCACCATCGGATTATTATATGTTCCGGTCACTCCAAAATTTTTTAGACGGTAAAACCTTCATCTCAAATGAGGAGGTCAAAAACCACCTCGATCACTTTTTTGCCAGCAAAGACCAAAAATTTTATGAGCGTGGAATTATGCTACTATAAGAAAGATGGCAAAATATGTTGGACCAGAACGGCCAATATATAATTTAATAAAGTATTTGTTTATTATACGAAAACTGTTTTTTATTTCCGCAAAAAAAAAACGTAATTACTTTCCCAACAACCTAATAGTTGTAGAACGCCGGACTCGACTGAAAAAAAAAAACATCAATATTTTATTATTTTTAAACAAAAATCTTTGGTTATTAAAACAGCAACAAAGTCGAAAAAAGGAAATGAAATTTATGATTTTTATTTTAATTTATTTATGTAAAATATTATGTCCAAAAATTAAATAAAATGTGTCATATTTATAAAATTTTTGTTAAATTTAAAATAAAAACATGATTTTTTGAATTGAACAAACATTTGTATTGAAATTAACATACTATCGAAAACTTTCGATAGTAATCGATTGGTTTGGAGAAAAACTAACGCTCATTATCGATGGTGCTGACTATCGATAATTCTCCACCACTAGAAAGCCGTTTTATTCTATTTCTGTCGTGGTAAAATCAAAAATAATTGTTAATCGCTACCACATGCAAGTAAACAATTGAATTTTAATACAAATGCGATGGAAGCCGCAAGATGTATGCTCCATTATTATTATTTATAAATAAATAATTATTTATGCATATATATATATTTATATATACTTTATTCTTGATGTTTGATTCTTCTTCTTCTTGAGTTAGTGCTATTACGCACTTTTACTCTATAATGGCTGGGGGGCTTATCTCTACCCCACACACTTTATATAAAATTTATTTTTGTTTAATATTAAATGTTCACTCATTTATTTCAAAAATTGAAGTTGTTCTCAAAAAAACTAATACATACAGAAATTATGTCATTTTTTAAAGATTAAAAAATGTTTGTATTATTTTAATCAAGACATTTTATTCCGTTTTGAATTCCAACAATTTTGCTTTTTTCATTTAACTTTGGTGTTAATATTGATATTTATTTTAGATTCTCTTTTGTTTTTGCAATAACTTACAAATTCATCAAAACACAGATGATTTTAACAACTGTTATTAACGAATCACCATCAAGTGTGCTCACAAGTTAGTGTAACTGGTTGCACTTTCACTCGGTTACTGAGCGCATTACTCGAAATCGTGAATAACCCTAATGTTAAATAAATATTAAAAGATACATTTATATAAAATATACATATTATAAAATTTTAAATTAAATACTGTTAAAATAAAGATAGTATAGTATCTCAAAAAAAATACGGTTGCGTCGTATTAAAAATGAATAAAAATAAATATTCCATTTTTACAAATTTTAATTAATTTATTCATTTTAATTTTTTTGTACTTTATTTAATATACGAAAAGGTTGTACACGAAAAACACAAACAGAATCTTAGTTGATACTCGAAAGACTTGATCAATAGCAGATCTTTCATTTAGTTTTAAGAAATACCGAAAAGAGCTTTCAGTCTTGCAAATGACCGTAAAGAACTTATAGACTTGCAAGACACCGTTTCTAGAACACGAGATATCTTTTAAACGGTCTTTTGCAAACTTTTGAGAGATTGTGACCTGAAAGATCATTGCCAGAATTGCCGTGTTAATGCCTATCGAATAAAAAAACGCTAACGAAGATATTAAAAATTTTACATGAGAGGTCGGATACAGTACACTATAATTTTGACACTTTTTGATGTATTTTGAACTTTATTTGTTATACTGTTTATTATAGTGTTTTTTAACAAAAATTCTAAACAGTACACTATGTTTGGCATTTTACAGTCTATTTCGTTCACTGCTTAAATGAAGACACTTTTGATCGAGCATATTTAGGAATTATATAATTAAATTACTTTATATATGCAGCAATAATATTTTTCTTATTTTGATGTTTTACATGTAAACAAAATTTCTAACTAAAGTTAATTATTTTTTAACTTTTAGACTTATTTATAATCAATGGCCACAATAGATGGAAGACCAGCACAATATGGCATTACTCTTAAGCAATTACGTGAGGTTATGGAACATCGAGGACGTGAAGGCGTAGCAAAGATAATAGAGTTTGGTGGTGTTGGAGAACTATGCAGAAAGCTTTATACATCACCGAACGATGGTAAATATAATAGTACTAATATAAGAACTGAAACATTATATGCATTTATATTAGGACTAAGTGGGTCAAGATCTGACATCGATCATAGACGTGAAACATTTGGGTCAAATGTTATACCACCGAAACCACCGAAAACGTTTTTAACATTAGTTTGGGAAGCTTTGCAAGATGTCACCCTTATTATATTAGAAGTAGCTGCTCTAGTATCACTTGGTTTATCATTTTATAAACCCGCCGATGAAGATGCACGTATGTACAATATTAATGTAGTTTATGTCAATGTGATATTTAATTTAAAGCAAAAACCCATATATTTTTTAACAGTGGTGGCGCTAGGCGACCACCGCCGTCTTCGCGCCCATATTATCTCCATTTCGTTACATGGAGCTTTGTGAATTCTTTACTAACCAACAATCTAAACTCAAAAAATTTCTCAAAGGCGAGGCGTCGAATGGTTCAGAGTGTTCACTAAACACCTTAACAAGACTTCGCTTTTAGATATTTCACCTATTAATTTCGCTATTCCGAAATGTTGTTGCTACTTACCATTTTTTATAATGACTTTTCCAAACAGATATAACACAAAACGTCCCAACAAACATTTTCAATCGCGAAAGAATCTTTAGTGAATCGAAATACTGAGCAATTTAATTGCGAAAGAGCGCGTCTTAAAGTCGCAAACAATGATTTTGTTGTGAGAATTTGTCCGCTTATCCGCCAGTTGCTTAGAAGCGCAACAAATTACTCTTCTATAGGCATCGTGTAAGCGTCGCAGAGAAGCGTAAAAACTTACTCTTTCATACGCATCGCAGAGAAGGGTAAAAACTTACTTTTCTATATGTATCACGGACTAGCGTTACTTCGCTACTCGGAAGAGATAGAAAAGAATCAGCAAAAATAAAATTTAAAAGAAGTTGAGGTTAAAATGGTTGGTTTATTCAAATTACTAAAAACAATATTACTAAATTTTAATAAATATTTATAATTAATTATATTTACAAAATTAAAATAAAATAATAGGAAATAAGTATTAGAAATAGTTCAATATTTCTTGTTGCTAACTTAATGCTAATATTAATCACATTTTCTAAAATACTAAATATTAGGTAGATATCAAATTAGATATTACTAAATATTAATATACAGCTATAGTAAGTGGAACGTACGCACGAATAATATCGTGTGTCGTTTTACTCTCAATATAAACGATCGAGCCAGTGCATCCTTTATAAATATTCTAATATTGATTACAATATGCTGACTTTCAAAGTTGATTCCTTCTTTCGTCAATTCTTTTAATTCAGAAATAAAACTTCATTGTGTTTAGTAAACATATTAGTTTAGTTAACATATTTAAAGTTATTTACTTTAAATAATAAGAAATCAAAATATTACTTACCTATATATATTTATTAAAATTATTTTATTATATTTTATTTATTCAACTTTCAAAACACATCAACTGTAACACGCCAATTGCAGTTTAATAATAGAGAAACAAAAGCGACATATGTAAATATTATATTACAAAAAAAAAGAGCAAATTAATAATTTTGAGAGCAATTGCTTCACAATCGTCCAAGTGCGTAATAAGCGTAATAAGGTAGTAATTTGAAAACACATTCGCCAAACAATCGTCTTAATCGAACAATCGCTTAACAATCGTCAAGGCGAGTAATAAGCAACGCATTTTGACAATTAGCGATAAATAAATCGTCTAAATGCTGACTAGGGTACAATACAAACAAAACCAAACGTGTGTTAGTTACAACCAACATTACTTCCAAATAAAAAAATAGAAAAAAATTATTCTCTTAAAATATTCTAAGGTTCAAAATAAAAACTGCACCGCGCTGCTTATAAGGCATGTGAATGAAATCACATTAACAGTGGTACTATATTCAATATTGAATACAGAACACAAAATATGTAAATAAAAACAAAAATAAAAGAGCAAACAATCCCCTCAAAATATGTTAGTAAAATAATCATAACTCTTAAGTTAATGCGAGCAAGCGGTTCAACAAAGCAAATACAAAAGAGAAAAGAAATGACTGAGCTATAATCGACTAGTGGTTCAGTCGACCAAACTGAACCATAAGTTTATACAAAACGTGCAAATAAAATTAAAATCACGGTTCCCGTTTTATACGATCAAGTAAATACAAAGTAAAAGAGAAAATGACTGCAAGAGAATTTCTTACTCTCATTCTTACTTCATTCAAAGAATGAAAGTTGTTAGAATGATAACTACGTACATACTTAAATAAGAATTCATACAAATTTTTGTTGCTGCTTATTTTCTTGATCATTTTTGAAATAATAATGAGGATCACTATTTATATTTTGAACCTTGGCAACACTGATTGTTATCAGGTATCATCTGACGTTTTCATACGAATGTTTGACATTATTAAACAAAACCTATCTTAGACTTTTTGTCAAAAGAGCGTTATTTGTGTTATATACTGTGATTTGTAAATTGAGTGTTCATGAAAAAATAGAATTAACGCGAAAAAGTTTTCGTGCGATGATTTATTTCGACTTTTAAGACAAAAGTGCATCGATAACTTACTTCCATATTTGGCGGTGAAGCTTTATCTTTTGCCATCGTGAAACCTTGGCACAATGATAATCGTGTCCGCAGCTTGCTCATTGATGAAATTCGTGAAAGTCGTCCCAAATTAAGTTGTTGTGCCCAAAAACGTTCATGCAAAAACATTGTTCTCATTGGTCTACTGTATGGATGTTTCAAGATGAACCAAATCCAACAAAAGTTGTTTGCACTTGAAACACTTTGAAACAAATGGTCGCTTGTTTTTTTTCGGAAAAACTGATCATTAAGTAACTACGAGTATACCATTACAGGAACGTTAAACGGTAAATTCCGAATCGTATACAACCATTTGTTTACCGGATGTCTTCAGTGAAATACGGAATACAAATAAGCACCATCGGACTATTCTCCACCAAGACAATGCCAGTGCTCACACGTCTCGTTTAACAACCGACTGTTTGAATATTCAAAAAATCGAATTGATGAGTCATCCACCATACAGTGGTAATTTGGAACCCACTGACTTCTTGTTTCCGAACATCAAGAATAAATTGCGTGGACAACAATTCTTGTTGACGGAAAATAACGGAAGCCGTTGTTGCATTTAAAAAGCATGTTTTGGAGGTGTCTGAAGAAGATTGGAAAAAATGTTTTGACAATGAATTCGAACGCATATAAAACTGTATTAATCATAAAGGAGAATACTTCGAGTAACGACAAATCCATTTTCAACAGCAAGTTAGTTTTTTTTTTTATAATTAGGCTCAAAATATAAATAGTGCCCCTCGTATTATTTTTGATCCCATCAAGGACAGTTAAATGTTTAATTTTTTATTAATAGATTTTATGATAACTATCTAAAAATTTTCCCCACTTATGAATGCTCACTCATGACACCGTCATTACTAGATATGATTTTAAGTATCCCACCTACAGCTTAATATAGTAGTGAATGATTGTCGTTTTAATAAGAACCATTATATCGATTTTTATATTTGGGTAGATCGTCGCCATTTTGAGTGTAGTGGTAATTGCGTTAGGCCAATATGATTCATGTTTAAGCAGCAGTATCAGGTTCAACAATAAAGGGAAATGGAGCTCTAATTAAAAAAATTACCAGGGCCCTGTTGCACCAACACTTTTCACTTTTCACTTTGCAAATTTTTATGAGTTTTTGAGCATTTTTCTCTCATTGAGAACATAAAGCAATAATTTGAGAATTGAGTTATGCAAAGTTTTGAAAACACTCAAAAAATGCAAAGCGTTGCACCAATGTACTTTTCAATGAAAAGTAAAGTATGAAAAGAAAAGTGAAATATTTGACAAAAAACTGGTTTCTTTGCACTTTCTGTTGCACCAACACTTTTTACTTTGCGCTTTGCAAAAGTAAACTGCAAAACTGCAAATGATTAATTCACTTTGCAAATTTTGCAAAGTGATTTCTTTCAATGCGTAAAATGAAAGAAATCATTAATAAATAAATAAAAATAGTTTTAAAAAAATAGAAAATTAGTTTAAGCAAATATTATTGCTGTTTTTGAAATAAATTTAGTTGCAATAATTAAAGGGATATATTACCGGACAATACTTTTAAATTGTGAATATAAGAGTTCAGTTTCTAAAAAAACTTTATAATACATGTAATATAAATATTTTATGTGAATTATTGTTCAAGCATGAACACTTATTTATTATAATGAACAGTTTATTATTATTATAAGTCTGTTATCGTTCAAATTCTTCGAATTATGAACTAAGAAAAAACATGGGTAAAAAATATCCTATAATAGCTAACATTGTAACATTTTTAAATATCTAATTATCCGTATCTAATTATGATAATAAAAATATATTTCTAAAGACAATAGAAGAAAAAATCACAAGTGCCTGGACTTCCGTCGTTTTTTGAACCTTGTTTGAAATGTAATTAAAAATAATACAGTCCACTAAAATTAATAAAATTAGTTAAGTTAGTTATAAGGTAATTTTGCATAAATTGAGAGAAATGTTCTAAATAAAATCAGTAATTTAGGCCCTTTATGCGTAGATTTCTTTTGTATTAGGATAATACACAACGACAAGTAAACAATACTTTAATAACTTATATTTTAAAATTAAATAATAATGACAGATTTTCAACTAAATTTTTATATAAAAGCAACTTATTATATTTGTTAACTTTGTTTTTCAATATAATTGTTGTTAAAACAACTTATACGGCGTTTACATTGGCCGAAAATGGCTCATTTTGGTCAAAAATCGAAAATGAGTATCGAATGGCTCATTCTTGCATATAAAATTTCAAGCACAAAAATGAGCAATTTTCTCATATTCTGTATGAATGACGTTCGAATGCATTCCACATACGTTCCAAATGCAAAGGAATCCATTGAACATACCCTAAATGAAAGCTCTTCATGGCATTATGACAGTTTGAAAAAGCTGTTTTTAACATATTTGCAAAAAAAGGTAAACAAATGTTTGGTGGTTGCATTTTCTTGAAAACGATGCACTGCTGTTTAGAACTTTTACTTCCCAAAAAGTAATTAATCGAAGTTAAAAATATGTTTTAAGTTTCTAATGTAAGGTTTGAAGGCATATTTAACCTTCATGCAACATTTTTTTGGCACAGGCCAAAAATCAAATCAACATGCAAGTTGAAAAATCAGCTGTTGAAATGAGAACAAATGAAATAGAACGAATGTAAACACTTTCAAATGGCTCATTCAAAATGAGCCATTTTCGGCCAATGTAAACGCCATATTATACTCATACTCTTTACATTTAAATTCTTTTTTTATAACTTTTCAAACTGCAAAAAAAATTAAAAGCATAAAAATGCTTTTAATGGATATACACAATATATATGGATATACACAACTTCTTTATCTACGATTCAATGTCAATAAAAGAAATCATATACAAAAATTTTGTGTTTTGTATTAATATATAACATATAATTGTACTAAAATTATACAAATATTACAAATTGTAATAATATAAATTATTAAAATAAAATATTATTTTAAAAACTTTTATTTTAAACAAAAATTAAACTCATAAGTACATACTATGCATAAATCATGTACTCATAGCATCAAAATATCAAACAAACAAAAAACAAGTATACATACAGAATCGAAATGCTTTCAAAGACCAATACAAAATGAAAGTGATCTAATTTTTTGGTGCAACGCTTTGCTTTGCATTTTATGCAAAGACTTTGCAGTGAAATTTTTATTTGCAAAGTGCAAAGTAAATTATGTTAAGTCTTTGGTGCAACGCTTTTCACTTTTACTTTGCAAAAAAAAGTCACTCACAAGTTTTGCAAAGTGAAAAGTGAAAAGTGTTGGTGCAACAGGGCCCAGGCGTGAGAGCATCACGATCATCACGACACTCTGACGAGAATCAATTATAGAGTCTATTTGACTAACTTTCGTCTTGGATTTACCACGTTTTCTTTTTATAATTTGTATATATTTATATACGCAATTTTGGTGTGTCGGAGTGATTTGCTGAGTTACAGTTCTTATTCTGGATATTTGGTAGGCCAACACGTTGCTGAATGGATAATAAGAGAAATTGCTCTCTGTTAACATTTTGGGTTGCATTAGTTTGCTGCGCTGATGTTTTATTTATATTTGCGGTTGGTGCTGGGCTTGATTGTAAATTTGTTTTGGTTTGCGGTTGATAGCATGGAAGAAATTTCACTCACCGAGTATGAGCGTTGCTTTTGGGATTGGTTTTTACCGCTGCTAGTTTGTTTGTGGCGTTGGTTGTTTTATTGTTTTATTAAAACTTAATTTATTATTAATACTTATTGAATACGTTTACAAAGTTAATCGTTTACTGACTCGACGCTTATTGCTTGCGCTAATTTGACCGAACATCTGTTTTTCTCTTTTGACATTTTCTGTCAGCTCGTTGGAGAAGTGCTGCCACAGTGCTGCTACAGCGTGCATCTCAGAATAGTCATCTGTTGTTGAGTTGCCTTTAGGTGAGTGGTTTGAGCCTCTGCTAAGCGAAGGCAGTGATTAATGAATTGGCATATTAAGTAGTTGCCAGCGCGGAAATCAGCTGAGCAACCAGCTTTCTCTGAGTAATTTGTTGTCGTACCCCTTTCTGGAAAAGAAAAACTTTCGCATACATATTCAATTATAAATATTTGAAGTTCTGTTTTAAAGTGCACGAAAATCGTTTCAACTTATTAATTTTATTAAAATAAAATTAATTTGTTTATATGTATCATATATATAAATAATATAAATTTATTTTATTTATGTAGCATAAATTTATTATTTAACAATTATAATAAAATTATACAAATTCGTGAGTTACAAAAAGTTTAGTTTTTCTGTCGCTGTCTCAATTATTTGTAACAAGTTTAATATCACCTTCTACGTTTTGCACTTATAAAAAACGGCAAAAGTTACGGAGTGATTTTTTTTGTGCGCACACGATTTGAAATTAAAATTATAAATTATATATAAAACATCATTTTTCGTTACAAAATTACGCAGTCGCTGTTGACACTTCAGCGATCGTTTTAATACTGATGAGTGAACAATGTTTGTATTGTTATCAGGGGTGTGATTAAATAATTGTCGAAAAATTTGATGTGTGATGGCAAGCAATGACATCGACCGCTGAAAGCGGATGATGTTGTGTAAAGGGTCCTTAAGCAGCGCGATGCAGTTTTATTTTGAACCTCAGAGTATTTTAAGAGAATGATTTTTCTCTCTTTTTTTTATTTGGAAGCACGGTTGCCACTTATGGTACTTTAGTACCAAAATTGGTACTTTTTTTCCGTTTGGTACTCTGGTACTCATGTTCAAAAAATGGTACATTTTCGGCGACCCAACTTTATTGTGGATATTGTATTGTTTTATACTTTTTGTACATTTTATATAAATTGTATTTTCTTATAAAAAGACAATAGAAACATTTTGGACCTTTTTTTACAGAAATGGTACCTTTTTAAACCAATTTTGGTACAGAAAAAAATTTTCAAGTGGCAACCGTGTTTGGAAGTCATGTTGGGTGTAACTAACACATGTTTGATTTTGTTTGTATTGTACGTTTTGTGTTATATCTATTTGAAAAAGTCATTATTAAAAATGGGAAGTAGCAACATTTCGGAACAGCGAAATTAATAAGTAAAATGTCTAAAAGGGAAGCTTTGTAAAGGTGATCAGTGAAAACTCTGAACAATTCGACGCCTCACCCTTGATTATAATATATAATAAGTTTTCATTTTTTTAATTAAAAACTTTGCACTATAAATTTACGAAAAATCCCCATCATAATCTCTATATCTTATATCTTATAATTGAAGATGAAGATGTTGGAAAAAACATCTTGTTTATTATTTAAAAATTTGTTTATTTAAAAATGTCCAAACGGTTGTCATCTGCAAACGAATTGTCACATCAGTTGTTAAATGAATTTTCACTGTTTTTGCTTGAAAATTATTTGACACATAAATCACTAATTCGATATGCTTGGTACATAAAATATTATAAAAGCTCTTGTAATTAAAATTAGTTGTTTCATAAAACTTAAGTTCAGTTTAGATATAGTTAAAATTACTTATAAATTTCTATAAATTTAGAAATCAAAATAAGTATTTATTGTAATAGAAAAATAAGTGAACATTAATAAAATGAATAAATTCATTTAATATTACTTATCTACTGGTTTAATATATTTTTCTCAGCTGTATTACAAGAAGAAGATGAGCATCATGGCTGGATAGAAGGATTAGCTATACTTATATCAGTTATTGTCGTTGTGTTCGTGACTGCGTTTAACGATTATTCCAAAGAACGACAATTTCGTGGTCTTCAAAGTCGAATTGAAGGAGAACATAAATTTTCAGTAATACGAAGTGGAGAAGTATGCCAAATATCTGTTGGTGATATTGTTGTTGGAGATATAGCGCAAATTAAATATGGCGATCTTCTACCAGCAGATGGGTGCCTAATTCAGAGTAATGATTTAAAGGTGACAGCTACAAGTTTATAATTTTAATTTCTGCTAGCATAGTTCTGTGCCATTCGCTATATCAAAATAAGAAATTTTGACCTAATTTCTTTTGAAATTAACTTTTCTTAAATATAATTTTTTTTTTAATAGCGGTTTTTGTAATGGCTTATTGACAAAATTATGTGCATTGGTACTTTCAAAATTTCGAAACTCATAATGACTAAAATTGTTTTTTTGACAGTACATCAGTGAAGATTCTATATATTATTTGCCAATGCATATAATTACAAATAGAAAACTTCTATCTACATTACATAATGTAATATTACTATTTTTATTTTGTTATGTTTTTTATTTAAAGGTGGATGAATCTTCTTTAACTGGCGAATCTGATCATGTTAAAAAAGGTGTTGATATTGATCCTATGGTACTGTCAGGAACTCATGTTATGGAAGGTAGTGGAAAAATGATTGTTACAGCAGTTGGCGTCAATTCCCAAGCTGGCATAATTTTTACTTTGCTGGGGGCAGCAGTGGATGAACAAGAGGCTGAAATAAAAAAAATGAAAAAAGGTACAAAAAATTACTATAATTTCATTAAAACATAACATCCAATATCTTTTCATTTAAACCTAATATATCTTAAAAAAAAAAATAACAAATAAATATATATATTAGAAAATGTTTAAAACAGTTTTTACTTTTCCTTACTTTTTGCCCTATGTTCCATATTACGTGTTGCATGATGGAATGACAATTGGTTAAACATTGAATCCCCACTTATCTTCCACTGAAATAAATATTTAAATATCAAATACATAATACAAAACATAAACATACATCTTTTTAACTAAACAAATGTAAATAAATGACGTACAAATTTTGAATTCATCGCAAATGATGGGAATTGCAAAAGCAGAAGCTAAAAAGGCGAAAAAGAGCAAAAGCTTAACAGGTGATTAAAAGTTTTATAAAAACTCTATTCTTAATTTGTTTAGTTTTAATTTTTACATAAATATATTTCTGTAGAAACACAATATTAATAAAATTTATAACATAAATTCACATCTTTAACAATAGAGTTATAATGAAACACAATTTTTGCCATCTTATTAGTTCTATATGTACATATTGTTTAAAAGTAGCAATATGAATAGGTGAATGATTTTAATTATATATAAATTACTATATATTATTATTTGATGTATAAGTAAATTATTTCCCTATTAAAATTCCACCTAATAATATATTTTGTATCATTGAATTAATTGTTATTTAATAATTGTAAAAATCCAGTAAAAGACAATATACAAGATATCGCAAATTAATGCTATATGAAAATATTTTATATCTTAAGGCAATACTAAAAAAGTTTATGTATGTAACAGGCGGTGAGGATGGTCGTGCACCGGTTAAAAATATGGACATCGATTCATTACCACCAAGTGATGGCCTTAAATCTGATTCCGACGGAAATCATATTCAACAAACTAGTTCAGCAGTTGAATCCAGCCACAAGAAGGAAAAATCTGTTCTTCAAGCAAAACTTACGAAACTTGCCATACAAATTGGTTATGCGGGGTCAACTATTGCAGTGCTAACAGTTATTATTTTAATTATTCAGTTCTGTATAAAAACATTTGTTATTGAAGAAAAACCGTGGAAAAATATATACGCTAATAATTTGGTAAAGCATTTAATTATTGGTGTAACAGTTTTAGTTGTTGCTGTACCTGAAGGACTGCCTTTAGCAGTTACATTATCCTTAGCATACTCAGTAAAGGTAAGCAAATTTTAACATAATAAGTTAAAACAAACAATATCGTTTCGCTTATGTTATAGAAAATGATGAAGGATAACAATTTAGTTCGACATTTAGATGCTTGTGAAACTATGGGCAATGCCACTGCCATTTGTTCAGATAAGACTGGCACATTAACAACCAATCGTATGACTGTTGTGCAATCGTATATATGTGAAAAACTTTGTAAAGTTTTACCAACGTTGAATGATATACCACAAAATGTGGGTAATTTAATAACAACGGGTATATCAGTAAATTCTGCGTATACATCAAATATACTGGTAATTATTAATTATAATTTTTTAATAAACTTTTTTTTATATGAATTATTTTTCAGCCAGGCGTTAACCCTGGTGATTTACCAAATCAAGTTGGCAATAAAACGGAATGTGCACTTTTGGGTTTCGTTCAAGGATTAGGAGTAAAATACCAATCAATTCGAGATGAAATTACTGAGGATAAATTTACAAGAGTTTATACATTCAATTCAGTGCGAAAAAGTATGGGGACAGTTATACCCAGATCAAATGGTGGCTATAGACTTTTTTCAAAGGGTGCTTCTGAAATTATGCTAAAAAAGTATGAAGTTTGTTTATTTTATAAAGGATTTTTTATTGTATACTAAATTCCATTAAATAATTGTATATATTTTAATATTTTTAATGAGTAATAACTATGCATAAAACTTATATTGAATATATTGAAAAATTGTTTTCTTATAGGTGTGCTTTTATTTATGGCCATGACGGTACATTAGAAAAATTTACACGTGATATGCAAGAACGTCTAATCCGTGAAGTCATTGAACCGATGGCTTGCGATGGGTTACGAACGATATCCGTCGCATATCGTGATTTTGTTCCAGGAAAGGCAGCAATCAATGAAGTGCATATAGATAATGAGCCAAATTGGGATGATGAGGAAAATATAATGACCAATTTGACATGTTTATGTGTAGTGGGTATTGAAGATCCTGTCCGTCCAGAAGTGCCAGATGCTATACGCAAATGTCAACGGGCTGGCATCACTGTTCGAATGGTAACGGGTGATAATATTAACACAGCGCGATCTATTGCTAGTAAATGTGGAATATTGAGACCAAATGATGATTTTCTTATACTAGAAGGAAAAGAATTTAATCGTCGCATACGTGATACTAATGGAGATGTAAGTTTTTAGAATTATGTTATTTTATCAGACTATTGTATTATTTTATTTAATTATTGTGCAGATTCAACAACATCTTATAGATAAAGTATGGCCAAAACTTCGCGTTTTAGCTCGCTCATCACCTACTGATAAATATACCTTAGTAAAAGGTATTTATGCAAATTTTCTTTTCATTTAATTAAGATAAATTTTTAGTAACTAGAGATCTTAATATATATCCACAAGATACAATAATTATTAAAATATAATTATAAAAGCGTGTAATTAGGATCTGTTTCTGACAAAATATGTATGAAAATCGAGTCAATAATGGCTTAATATTCAACCAAATAGCGTATTTACTTTTCATGTCGTCGCTTATGTGTTCTTTCTTCTTCCCTCCCTACCTCCTACATCATACTTCATCCTACTCCATTGTACAGTTTAGTGATCCTTCCATGTACTATATATCATTATAAAAGTTATGGCATTTCATATTCGATCATTAAAAAACACAATTGTTTTAGATTTATAGCTTATTAAAGAGATATATTTTTATTGTAAGTTTGTTTCAAGCTAAACTAAAATTAACATCATATATTGATATATATATATATATATATATGTATAAATATAGAAATAATTTTCAAATTTTTAAAATTAAAAATTATTTCAATATATATATAGAATATATATGTAGAAATAATTTTAAAATTTTTAGTTCAGATTTAAACAAAACTTACAATAAAAATAATATTAATAACATTATTTAATTATATGTTTAATCTCACAGTCTTAAACAGTGTTCCCGAGTTCAATCCTAATTAAATCTAACCACAAACTAATACTAGAATTAAAATAAGTATTTCGGTTGACTTACTCTTTACATATACAGTGGTCGTCCAGTATAACGAACGCTCGATATTACGAATTTTCGATATAACGAACACCCAAAATATTTACATTGATTGTTCTATATAACGAACGAAAAAAAAAATTCTGCTCCATATTACGAACAAAAAATTTTTTGTTTCTTATTCGTTTTTGTTTTATACAAATTATGCTTTTGAATATAATTTTACTATAAAACTAGCATTATTCAGCTTAGAATATGCATGTAATTGTCCGTTTTTTTTTTTTCTGAGAAAAATGCCTATATATGGCAAAATGCATATATGCAGGCGCCACTGATCTGTTGTTCACAAATTCAGTTTATCATATACGAAATACTATCCAATACTATCTAACTATTTATTGTTAGTGTGACATTAGTACATACGAAGTTAATAAATGGAATAATTGTGATAATACCATCGATGTCTCGGACGAGGATGATGGATCTGATGACGAAAATATAGAAGAAAATAATTTAGAAATTATTAAACATAAAGATGCCATAAATCATTTCGAAAAATGCATAAAGTGGGCGATTAACAATAATGAAACTTCAAAATTAGCTGTACTAAGAGAACTACAAGAAAAAGCTGTTCAGAAAAGTCTTGAGTGTAGTAAAAAACAAACAAAAATTAATGATTTTTTTTACTCTACACTATGATTGAATGCGTCCTTTCTTATAAATAATTTTTGTAACAACCGAATAAAAAATACTTTCAAATAAATATATACTCGTACGTGTTTATAAGTTAATTTATGAACTCAAATATATGAAATCTCCTAAAAATAACCATATTGGTAGGTAAATGTATAACATTCGATATTACGAATTTTTCGATATAACGAACAAGGGGTGCAACATAAAATTCGTTATATTGGACGTCCACTGTATTTTGAAATTCTTTTCGCTGATTTATGATGCAACTATTAGTTTTCACTGTTTGCGTTAATAAAAAAATGAAATGAAAGCAACTCAATCCGCATTTAGTCAAGTAGATGCCTCTGTTTCATGTGATATATATTTAAAATATTCAATATAAAATAACACATAAATCACTATTTCCAGGCGGTTGTATAACACTATGTGGGAAATTATATTTTGTACTTTATTAAAAAGAATGCAATATATTATAAATATATTTCTTTACTTTAATTGTGGAAGTAGCGGAAATACTTCTTAATGATAAATCAGTAGTGCCTCTTTACTTTAATGTTAAAAAAGATGGTTAATGAAAGCATTGGTAAACAAAAACTTTTTCCTTTTATTCATATAAGTTTAATTAAATTAAATTTTCTTCATAATTTCTGAATTCACATAACAAAAAAATTTTTTGTTTTGATTTTGCAACATCTGTGAAAAACTGTCAATTTTCATTCGACATCTGTTATGAAAATAGTATGTTAATTAAGTAAAGTCAAAATTCAATACCATTTTTTGACATATACTACTTCATCAACTTTGGGTAATATTTTCACATGTAATGAAAACGCATTTGACACAGCAATCAATTATGACTGGTGTCAAATGTCAATTATGTCATTTAAAATGACAGTGAAAACAAGGCATTGGGCCTATTAACACTATCATGAACGTAACATGAACATGAACTTGAAAACCGGTTACCGAAAGATGAGAGGGGGAAGAGAGTATGATGTGAGTTCATGAATTTCACACAATGATATTTGCTGCATTTTTTCAGCTTGACACGCATACATATGCAAAGTTATGCTTATGTTTACCTTTTAATACTGAATACTCTCAATTTCTGTGCTCTGTACTACTGCACACAAGCATTTTATACGTTTACATAAAACAAAACAAATTTCACGCTCATGAGAGTTCACGATAGTGGAAACTGAACTGACAGTTCATGTTGTCGTCAAGTTCATCTCACGTTCATGATAGTGTAAATAGCCCCATTAGGTTACAAATGCATATTTTAAGCTTATTATTGTTATTGTGGTATACAAAATTTTGTCCTTGCAGAATAAATATTAAATTGACTATTTAATAGTGGTTGATAATGTTGTGTATAGAGAAAATTAACTTTATTATTTAAGTGGAAAATTCAATACTGCAATAATTTTAATTTTTTAATTGATATTTATGTTCAACTAAAAGGCTGCTTTGGATACAGATATTCATCAACCGCTGTCTTGAAAGTATTATTTGTTTCATTGTTCGTTTATACTAAATCACTTGTGTCATGTATTAAACTCTAACTACTCTAAAACTTAATATAGCATATTAGACCACTAAGCCAAAATTGCATTCGACATGTGTTGAATAAATTTACTGTTTTGTCAACTGTGTTTTTAAAAAATGTACTTCTTGTTAATAATTTAATGTTAATTTCAAAAAAAGTCTAAATAGTTTATTTAATATATATTGTTAATTGTTAATTTCAGTAAAATATAAATTGTTGATCGTTAAAAAATATGGGCACATGTATTCAAAATTTAATTTTTAATAGGAATCATTGATAGTACAGTAAGTGATAACCGTGAAGTTGTTGCTGTAACTGGTGATGGCACAAATGATGGACCTGCTTTAAAAAAAGCTGATGTTGGTTTTGCAATGGGTATTGCTGGAACTGATGTAGCCAAAGAAGCTTCAGATATTATTTTGACGGACGATAATTTCAGTAGCATAGTTAAAGCAGTCATGTGGGGACGCAACGTATACGACTCAATTGCAAAGTTTTTACAATTTCAGTTAACAGTTAATGTTGTTGCTGTGATTGTTGCATTTATCGGAGCTTGTGCTGTACAGGATTCTCCACTTAAAGTAAGTTTCTTTTGCTTTTTATTTATCTTATGACATTAAAAATTACGTTTTTAAAATTAGGCAGTACAAATGCTCTGGGTTAATTTAATAATGGATACACTTGCGTCCTTAGCTTTAGCAACTGAACTTCCAACACCAGATTTATTGTTACGTAAACCATATGGACGAACAAAACCTCTTATTTCTCGTACAATGATGAAGAACATTTTAGGACAGGCTCTATATCAATTATTTATTATATTTGGATTGCTTTTTGTTGGTAAATAAAATCTTTTGCAAAGAAGTATAAAATGTATCAATTTGTATATAATTTATATTCTAAGTTATTTATATTACATGTTAACTCATTATATATTATTGCAACCAATTTAAATTCTTTTTAATATCAATCCGAAGGAGACTGGATTCTAGATATTGAATCTGGTCGTGGACAAGATCTTGGAGCTGGACCAACGCAGCACTTTACAATTATTTTTAATACCTTTGTTATGATGACATTATTTAATGAAATTAATGCCCGAAAGATTCATGGTCAACGTAATGTTATAGAAGGACTTTTTACAAATCCAATTTTTTACACTATTTGGATATTTACTATGATTTCACAGGTAAATATTTAAATAAATTTATTGACAGTTGATTTATGGTTAATTTTGTATTTAGGTTATAATAATTCAATATGGAAAAATGGCTTTTTCCACAAAAGCTTTATCGCTTGATCAATGGTTATGGTGCATATTTTTTGGTATTGGTACCTTAGTATGGGGACAATTAATCACTTCAGTGCCCACGAGAAAACTACCAAAAATTTTATCGTAAGTATTTAAAAAAACTAACTAATACATCTTCTGGCGAAATAAAAAAAATATTTTTTTACGTTAAAACTATAAACTTGGGTTAAACAAAAAGTATGTTTAAATATAATTAAATTCTTAATAGTTAAAAATCTGTTACTTTTATATTTATGACGTCATTCTGCTCGCACTACAGTGCAGTTATTTTTAGATTCATGACGTCAACTTGTTCGTACTGCAATGCAGTGTTATTTTAATTGTTAAAAGAACTAGGGGGCTCTTTCATATTTAACAATAGCCGTAATTTTTTTCTTTCAGAGTTGTGAAAATAGCATTAAGTCTGGTTGAAACAATTTGGCATCACTTTTAAAATATGTTAAATGCTTTTTCTTAACATATGTTAATATTGAAATTTAATTAATTTAAATAGAGAAAAACAAAATAAATGTTAGAAGAGCAATCGTAAGCATTTTTATCTTATATATTTGAATTAATTAATTTATTTACGCATTTGAATAGTAAATGAAATGCTCACATGATTTTAACGAATTATTGGAATTTTGTAACATATTTCCAGTGAACATTCACAATAGACTAATTTTTGAATTTGGCTGCACTAAAACTTAATACGAAAACATGTTTGCCAGCGTTTTCTTTCGTAATTTGTAAGTATTTTTTGGTATTCTGAAAGAAATAATTACGGCTAATATATATGTGCTTTCAACATTTTCTAGAAAAGACCTCCAATTTTTTTAAGAACTTGAAAAAAAAAAACACCAATATGCGTGAATCTATTCCTGCATTTCAACGATTATCAGCAACGCTATCAAGTGCAATTAAAGAAATTTAAAATAAAACATTTGAAACCATAATCCCATGTTTACAGAATTATTATATAATAGTAAAAGATATTCATTATTGTTTTTTATTTCTTAAGTTTATTTGTTTTATTCTGTGGAGAATATATAATGGGTGGTGTTGAACTACTGAGGCACCAAGACAGTCCAGTTGCACATTAAAAATGATATTATTTATAAGGTATTTTGCATTTAAATGCTGCCTGACATTTATATTTGACAGTTTGTTTTCCCACGAACTGTTTTATTCTAATTTGGATCACTGTTTCTGTGTTGCTAATTTAATAAATCTTTCTTATGTCTTCTTTTCTTACAACTTAAAGAAACTTAAAGAAAGAATAAATAGATATAAATAAAAAAAGATATATATAAATAGATATAAATAAATGTACAGGGTGTCTGACGAAAATTGCAACAAATTTCTCACCGACGTAGCTGTCAAACCAATAATGACAGAAACCTTAAAATAAATTCATTTGACAGTTCATTGTCTTGGTTACAAGCTTACAAATCGTTTGTGTCTTAAATATGAACAAATCATTTGTGTCTCGTATCATAGCTCGATACCGTAATACTGATAGTGTTGCATAACGCTCAGGAAGTGGACCAAAAAAAACTAACACCAGTGTTTTTATTATGATTGCTTTATTTAATATAATTAAAATACTTAATATAGTACAATATATATTTTTAATATAATAAATTTATACATTGTACCTTGCATTTATATTTATTTAAATTTATACATTTATACAAATATACATTAAGTATTTATGTAAGTATATATATATTATACTTATTCTTTTTTTTTTGTTGGAATTAACACATCCAACTTATTGTTGATGCATTTTAATACTGTAAGCATCTCTTGAAATATCTCATTCTGCTTTTTATTTTGTTCAGTAGTTAGGTGCTTAACTCTTTCGAGCTCTGACAAGTAGATGTCATTCCGTGCCTTTTTGGGTTTCGGTGGTAAAGTAGGCATTGATTCTACTTGCAGTGTGGGCGTTAAAGAGGCGAAGTTGTTATAAATTCTACACTTAAGAAATTCCATCTTAAAGAAATCTGATTGCTGACACTGTAGGAGAAAACAGAAATTGTTACCACCAATATGTAAAACTAAAAAACATTTCTTTTATTTACCGGAATGCCTGCTTCAGGGGTATTTTAATTCCCATCCACTGCGTGTTCTTAAATTAATACTACCACCTCTTTATCCATTTCCTCAAGAGTTTTCAGGCCTTTACTACTCTAGTTGCTAGTTGTATGTTATTTATTTTGTTGCGGCTGCAATTCGTAGCTCAATTCGTTCAATTTTGCCATCGTTTTCATCAACTTGTGACACGGTGCATTGTCTTGGTGGAACAAAAATGTTTTCTTCGCCATATGAGGCCGTTTCTTTGCGATTTCGTCTTTCAAACGCTCCAATAACGCTATATAATAGTCGCTGTTGATGGTCTTCCCCTTCTGGAGATAGTCGATGAATATTATTCCATGCGCATCCCAATATACAGACGCCATAACCTTGCCAGCCAACTGCTGCGTCTTTGGTCGCTTTGGGCGGCTTTCACCGTCTGCATGCCACTCAACAGACTGCCGATTTGACTTTGGAGTGAAATGGTGGATCCATGTTTCATCCATCGTGATGTACCGACGCAAAAACTCCAACTTATTGCGCGTAAACATGTCCAAACAGCTCTTTGAATCATCGATTCGTTGTTGTTTTTGCTCCGGTGTGGGCAAACGCGGCACCCATTTGGAAAACATCTTTTTCATACCCAAATGTTCGTGTATTATGGTGTATACACTGCCTGCTGATATCTGTAGAATGTCAGCAATCTCCCTCACTTTCACTTTACGGTCGGACATAATGATTTTCAGTGTTTTTTCAACGTTTTCCGGAATAACAGCGTCATTTGGCCGTCCAGTAGATGGAATGTCATCGGTGTCTGTACGACCACGTTTGAATTCGGCATACCAATAACAAATGCTTCTTTTTGATGGAGCAGAGTCCGAATAATGTTTTTCAAGCCATTCCTGGCATTGAACAGTATTTTTTTTCATTAAAAAACAATGATAAATCAGCACACGGAATTGCTTTAAATTCATTTTTTTTTTGAAAACCCAAAAGTAGCGTCACTTAAAGCACTGTAACTTGTTAACAAATGGTCGGATTAACATATGATTTTGACAGTAAGCCTAAAAAGGTTGCCACTTTCGAAAAAAAATATTTATTTAGTATTAGTGACGCCATCTATGTGTCAGTCACACACATTATTGAACGAAGTGTTATCAAATAACTTTCAATAAATATTTTATTTAAATAAATCAAATGTTTTACTATAACTTTTATAACTTTTCATTCAAAATTCAAAACTTCTCGCAAGGAACTCGCAGGTGAAAAAAACTCAAACGAAAAAAAGTGAGAATACAATTCATCACAGTTACATAAACACTTCGAGTGACTAAAGTTACATAAACGAGTCACAGAAATGATTCGTAAAGTGAAGAAGCGAATTGAAAGAAATCCATGCCGCAGCTGCAATCAAATCAAAAGGATTGCAACACCTTTTGAGAATTAAGCTCGGATTTAAGGCATTGAAGTTGAACAAAGTGCATGATCTGACCGAAGAACAAAAAAAAGTTAGAAACGAAATAGCCAAAGTGTAAATTCGTTTGACCAAAAGTGGTGAGTTGCCAAATTTACTTTTATCTGATGAGTCACCATTCGTAATTGAAGTACGTAAACAAGCAAATTAATACAGTTTACTTGTCAGAGAGGTCAGCTGAAAATTTCAACATACGAATGACCACTAGAAAGCAGGCGTCACCTAGACACCTAGACAACAGGACTCAGCATCATCGCACAAAGCATGCCTCAACCAAGAATTACTGAAAAATAACGTTCCGTGTATTATTCCATTAACACAGTGGCCACAGTGTTCACTTTATCTAAACTCTTTAGATTTCTCGGTCTGGGATATTTAAAAAAAAAGGTTGGCATTAAAAAATACTAAAATGACGATTGTCTAAAGAAAGCGTTAAGCCGAGAATGGGACAAAATAACATAAACCTTTAAAGTTCTTATCGCATGTTTTCATTTATCTTCCATTAAATTTAACAAAATTGAACAAAATAGAGCATTTCACTTTGTTGCAAATTTCGTGAGCCACCCTTTATATATATGCGTAATAAATTGTAATATTCTAAATGGAATGTAGATATGAACAGAGTATTATAAAAAAAGTTTTGTTTCTGAAATTTCTTCTAACCCAGTATTGTTATTTTTTTTTGCTCTTCATTTATTTAAATACTCCTATAATTGGTGTGCAATTTTTTCGAATTTAAGTTGAAGGAGTGTCGCGATAATTCTTTTGTATATTTTCCAGTAGCATGTGACTCTGAAAGTTTTACATTATTTTATTGCTGTATTCATTCGAATTTACATCTTATAATGCCGGTAACCAAAGATACACTTCTTTGAATTCTAGTATAAATTTTTTTACTCCATTTTTACTTACAAAAAAAAAAAATTAGACAAAAAATTAAAAATTTTTTGTTATTTAAATGAATTATTATAATATTGAGACACAATACTGCGAACAAATTGTGTATAACTGCTTTATACATTCTGTTTAAGTAATATGTTCGACCGGCATATAACATAAAAAACCTATAAATAATATATCTCGAATAATAGCAGCACAAACAAAATGTTTATTAAAACATTTTCTTATTAGAATGAATTCTTTTTGAATTTCATTTAATATAGGTATATATTTATTACACTTAAATTTTATAATTATATTTTTATGTTTTATTCCACTCGCGGTAAGAACATCATTCAATTAAAAGTTAAGTCAATTTCAAAGTGAAACTAAAATTATAAATCCAATAAAGTCCGTTTATACCATCTTTCCATTGCTTACTTAAAATTTTTTCGTTTCCATTGACATAAGTTACACTTACTAAGTAAGCAGTGGAAACATACTAATAGACTTGCTAGATACTTCTACTTGGCAAACTAAATACATTATTACAAAGATTGTCATTATATATTTATTATTTAGATATTTAATTTCAAATTATTTTTATTTCGACAGCAAAAAACTTCAAATCAGGAAGATTGTATGGGAATTTTGACAGCTGAAAACAGAATTGAATCGTAATTTTTACTAAACTTAGTTGATTTTAATTTGGATAGTTCACTGAAGTACAGTTTTGTACAGTACAAACTTGTGCTATTTTTATCTCAATAAATATATATTTTTTTAATTTTACTTGCATTTATATATAACAATGAAAAAAATTTTTTTTTCAATAAATATATTTTTTATTTTTCTTGTATTTATATACACAAAAATGAAATTAGCTACATTGCTTGTTTCATTTCACAACTTTAAAAAGAATTCAAATGAGGAGTTCAGAAGTTTGCCATTTTACACTTTGCCAAATACTATGTTACCGAGCAACGTCTAAACACTCTTAATGTTTATTTTTTGAGATAAAACTTATGAAAATAGTTTTATATTTCCACTAAAATATTGAATAAAGTTCTGCACAGTATTAATTTTACTTAAATAATTTTAATAACTTTGTAAACTATAATATAATATACTATAATATATGATATACTATAATATAAGTCTTTATAGATATATATAAATTTATAGATATAGATATATATAAGGATGAACTTATAAATAGCATTATTAAATATAAAATTAAAATTTTAGTTGGGGTCGCGGTCATCCAGATGAGTACACTGATGCAATGAACTTAGGTGAAGAACGTTTCGATTCCATTGATTCCGATAAGAAACCACGTGCAGGACAAATTTTATGGATTCGTGGATTAACTCGTCTTCAAACTCAAGTAAGTGTTTTTAAATTGCGAAATATGTATGATATTTTCATGGTATTCATTATAAATTTTCCCGATTTAAGTACATACACAAAACATTTATAAAATTCATATGTTATTTCATTTCCTTTGGTTTGAATGGTTTATTTAAAATTATAATAAACTATTATTATTGTTATTTATGGTTAAAAATATTCCTTTATAAATAATAATACTGTAAGTTTACAAAATATAAATATATTTTACTTAATTGAAAATTTTTATTTTTATGTACTAAAAGCCATATTATACCATACACCCAGTCTTTAAATAACTAGATGCAGTTCTAAATAAAAGCAATTTGTAATCTTGTAATTCAAGAATTTAATACTAATAATACTAATTGTTTTCAGCTAAAAGTGCTGAATCAACGTTAATGCTATCAATATTTGTCAATATTTGTATTTATCAACAAAATTGTGTCGAAAGATTGTACATATTTTTAAGTTTGGTATTACTCCATGATCTTCAGCTGTATGTTTTGTCGATTCTGGATAAGTAAGGCGTGTCGCACATATTTCTTTTAAAGCCAAAGTACAATGCTTGCGTTACTATCCGTGTTTAATCTTGTTTTTTCACTTTATAAAATTAAATAAAGCAAGTTAAAATGCTTGCGCTCTTGAACTTAACCTTACAAAAGGTATATAATAATTTTCTATTAACCGTAAGATGTCTGCTTGGGTTTTTTTTTTATTTTCTGTTTACAATATTTAAACGCAACAAACAAAAAGTAAATGTGTTAAAAATGTAAAATTTAGCAAAGCGAGTACGAAATTTCTCAGTTTTCTTTTGTGTGGTTTTGAAATATAAACTTTCTTTACCTATATTTATATTAAGAAAAAAATTGTTTCTTTATATTGGTTTATATACATGTGTTTACAAATGTATCTCAAATATCTGTGAAATAAGAGGAATGATATGAATAACATAATTTATATATGTACGTTAGGGTGCCATTAAGGTATATAGCAAATTTTTTTTTGAAAAATCGGTTGACGGCGCCCCTCTGATCGGTTCATTTTACTAAAAAAATAATCTGTGTAATATTTTAGTTCAATTGGATAAGTGGAAATGGCGCCCAAGAGCCACAAAGATTGGAAAAAAATCATTTATTCTATAAAATTCAAATTTGATTGCCTATATCTCCGACATAATTAATTTTACATAAAAACTGTCTTCCCGAAAGTTATAGATCTATTAAAAGGAAACAATTCACTCATACAAAGTTTTTCTGTATTTCTAATAGTTACAAAAACTGCTATAATTTAAAATTTCTTCTCATAAAAAGATACTATTTTAGTTTTCTCCGACATAATTTTTAATGTTTTATTTAAAGTTACTGGAACAAAGCATCTTTGTTAGAATTTAGAAAACGACGGCGGTAATCTTTAAAAATTTTTAATATGTACTATTTTGGATCTAAATTTTGATAAAAATTAATTAAAGTCCAGCATTCATTTTACTCCTCACCCTGCCGTATCATTTACTATTTTTAAACTTAGAAACGTTTTCTTAGCTTTAATGAAATTCATGCCATTTTATGGGACATATTTTCATGAAGTCATCGCACAACTTGAAACGATTAAAAATGTTTTTAGTATGTTTGTATACAAACTGTTCAATTACCTTTTCAACGATCTATTGATACTATCCTGACTTCCGTGTCATCACTTTCTATATTCAAATTCGAAACTATTTTTGTCTTTGTCTCAAATGATATATTTAAATCCAAAAATGCAAAACCAACAAGCTCTAAGTTTAAATATAAAGATGATTACATAATTTTTTCAAAGTAACTCTAGACATATCTTTATCAATCTTTTCATATTGACTGAGAGTAGAAAGAAGACTAAAATCTTGAAAATGAGCTTTGACTGATGACAAAGCATTAAACCATACTTCAACATACACTTTAGTAATAGATATACATATATCGCAAAGAGCATTTTCTTCTTCTGTATATAATTTGAACACTTTCCTAAATAAAAATATTTTTAATACATGCATGACTTTCGCCATCCATCTTGCGTAATATATAGTCCCATGAGATCGAAACTTTATGCTTCAGTTTCGCTTTTCTTCTAAAAATATTAATACAAGTTCCGGAAGTTCCTTATAATCATCTCTTGGTTGGTTATTCTTACGAATCTTATAAAGAAAACTTGTAATTCCTAACACATCATCAGTGTTCAATGATTTTCTCACTTTTTCATTATCTTATCTTAGAAATGTCAACGTTTATTTTCGGCGAAAAGTTTTGAAATCGTTGAAATAATTCAACATTTGGGCTTTCAGACTTACAAACCTCAGCATGGAGGATATTTTTGAGAATAATTTCGTGAATGTGATGTCTGAAAGCGAAATATAAAAGATCTCTTTCTAAATATTTTTTAATAATTGAGCAAGTTTCGTTAAAAAGACCAGTGTTTACAGCTATCGTCGTATCAGAAACTAAAGCTTGCACGTAATCCCGCAAATCCTATTCATAAATAGATTTACAAATAGCAATTGCCTGTGCTCTTTCGGTACCATTTTTCAGTGCAGGTATTTCAAGTAATTGCTCAACAGACCCTAATGAAATTATAATACTTTGTTTTCATTATAAAGCTGGCAGCAATTTTTAATCGCAATGCACACAAACTGCATTTAGCTCACAAAATTTTAATCGTTTTTTTTAAGTCTTCTACTCTTTGTGATCACAATATTTTTGTTCATTTATTGGTATTCGTGCCTTTTGCCAAAATATGATAGTTATAATAGGGTTTGCGGGATTGTATAGTTAATGTAGCACTTTCCTCTAACCACAACTTATCCACACGCATGGTAAAAAAGGACTTCCTAATACTTCCCTATTTAATGGTACTTTACTACCAGTAAACCTACTAGAATGATAATCAACAAGGTATATATTTTTACGCAAATTTAAAGAAGTCATCTCTGAAACACTTTTTAATATGATCACTTTGAATTATTTTACAGTAATGAGTTATAGCAGCTGAGAGTTCAAAAATTAAAACAATAAAATACTATAAAATTCACTTCGTATTCCCATGAATAACACAGAAACTCATTTATGTATATAACTATCCAAATGTTGGACTTATTTTGTAGCAAATTTTGTAAACAACATACAGTCATGCATACTTATTAAATTCAATCGGGTGATTTCAGCTAATTTTTTCTTAATTAATTATTGCAAATACAGGAAAACTTTGTATGACTGAATTGTTTATTTTTATTAGATCTATAACTTTCGGGAAGTTTTTATGTCAAATTAAATATGTCGGAGATATAAGCAATCAAATATGAATGTTATAGAATAAATGGTTATTTTCCAATCTTTGGGGCTCTTGGGCGCCATTTCCACTTATCCAATTGAACTAAAATATTACACAGATTAGTTTTTTTTAGTAAAATGAATCGATTCTGGGGGTGCCGCGAAAAATTTTCCGACTTTCGAAAATTAATGGCACCCTAATGTGCATATATATACTTTTTAATTTAATTTTTTAATAAAATATTTAATTTATTTACTTTTGTGCTATTAATTTATCAAAGTTGTAACTTAATAACATGTATATATACAGCCATCTATCTCTGCATTACTCGCACCATTAAAAAATCTCTGAAACTGAAGAAGTTTTGTCTGGTTGCTTTTAAATATAGTGAAGGAACCTTGAACAATGTACTTTCAAATGCAATAGCTGACGTATTTTCGCGGCTGGGTGTTGATGAAGCCTTCATTAGTTTTATAAGTCGGTTGCCAACTTGTAGATTCATTAAAGCAACTATGAGTTCTTTCAGAACACAAACACGATTAGCCATGGAATCTCTGGATCATATTGTTGAACGAACTGCTATTAAAACTGAGAAATTATTGCATATGAGGATTATGTTGCGTTAGTGACTACCGGAAAATATACTACATTTTAAATGGATATTTAGCAAAAAGTCTTAATATCCTGAACAAATGGACAGTACAATATGACTCATTTCTAGAAAGAATAGAGAGCCTACTGTTTCTTCACCTATTCTACGAGGTTCTACGCTGGAAAATGTTAAATTTTTAGGTATTGTTTTTAACAGGCAAGTTGGAAGCAAAATGTCTTCGAGATTATTAAGAAATTAAATATTGCGCCTTATCTATTTACAAAAGTTACCGCGCATAATTCAAAGGCTCTATAGGGTTGTCATAAGACCCTATAGAGCCTATAGGGTCATACATTCTATAAGAATGTATGACATTCTTATAGAAAAAATATAGATATTAAAGTTCTGTTTTAAAGTTCTAGAGTTCAGGCCAATTTACATCTAGGATGGTTTTTAGTTGCTACACATTTCTAAATGAAATGGCGCATATCATATTCATATGATATTCTATTCTGTGTTCCCGGTCATATGTATAACTTTGGCAACTGCAAAACGGACGAGCTAACCATCGATTAGGGAACTATGCTAAAAGATTGAATCCCCTGTTTAATCAGTCCTGTCGCAGTAGTGGAGAGGAAAGGAAAGTTAAGTTGCCACACATCTGCTTTGTTTTTGTCCACCGCATGCGAGGCGCAGCTCCTTTTTTTTTAGGATCTTAACCAGCTCCAGGAATTCTTTCTAAAGATCATTTTTTGCTTTGCCACAACGTGATTATAAAAACTCTTTTACACTGTCTTTTACACAGCAACAGAATGGGTCAATAGACCTAAATTAATCCTTACGATCGCTGGTATAACCGTACCTAACCTAATGGATTTTTATTGCTTAATATGAAAAATTTTAGTTACCATATAGAGATTTTCTTTAAGTAGGTTTTGAATATATTGCTGAACATAGTTGAAAGAGCATCTCGTTTAAAAGATGTGCGGTTAAGAAATTTTCAGTAAAGAAAAGTTGCAATTGCATTCAAATATGTGTTCATTACTGAGCGAATCGGTTATAGGTCGCATTAATTTTTTTTTAAGGATGTGAGAACATAAATTTCGTTTTTATCGCTGTACGATGAAATGATCTCACAAGGGATGTTAAACAGTAATGGTCAAATTTCGTTGATTAATATAAGTGAACTGTCATCAATGATTAAATTTCTATTATCAATTAACATATGTAACACGCATCGTTATTTCAACAAATATTCATCTTTCATAGGTAGGAGAATTAATCAGGGTATTACTTACTATTTCTTAAAATACGTACCCAAATTTGCAAAAATATATATATATAACTCCTATATAACTCCTAATAATAATATTTTATTTTAATTTTTTCTTATTGCACACAGATATGATATTAAAAGTTTTGATTTAGATACATATACACATGTATAAATTAATGCAATGAAACAAAAATTTCATCTTCAATATAAGCATTTCTGCTTTGGTTAAAAATTGTGGGTTTTTCTCACTGCTTTATTTTATATCCGCAGAATCCGAAAAATTACGCAAACCAATTCTAAATGGCTCGTAGCCGTTTAACTTTTTTTTTCATTTTTGAATTCATTTCTTGCTTGTTTGCTTTTTTTTCATTTACGAACATTAGCGATAGCAAATTTTGCCAAGTTTAAAAAGTAATTCCGGTGAAAGCGTCTCTTAAGCATATATTAACTATCATTTTAAAATTTTTACAAATTAATTCGTATATCAATGTTTTGTTGACTATTATCAAATTTTCAAGATACATTTCCTTTTATATTAGTATCGTTGTTATGTAAAACATTTGCATTTCACATACTTACGGAAGAATTATAGCTTCGTACTTTGGTTTTTATTGATATTCGTTTGCCTGCTTTCTTTATATTTAATCAAGGACCCCTCACGATGTTTGTTTTAGTTTAAAATATTTACACTTCGAATTATATATATAATATACTGGTAGCAAAGGGTTCGCAAAATCTTTGCGAACCCTTTTCTTATCGATCCGGCAGAACTGTCATCCTTACAAAATTAGGGACTTGTCAGGTTAGTTCACTTTTACTTAAATAGGGAAGTCATGTCTTTCAGCGTTGCTTGCTTGCTGATCACTGCGGAATCCTTCTGGTCTGCGTATAAACAACATTAATACTTGATATTATAACGGATTTAGCAGGATCTTTTTAATATAACACTTCCTTTTCAAGCATGAAATACTAAAATCTTTAATATGTTCCTTTAAAACATATAACATTTACAGACACTTTCTTGCTCCATTCATTAATTGTGACAGGTGTTCTTATTTTTAGTACTCTTTATAGATCTTCAATTGTTAATTTAATTGTTTCACATGTTTATAAGCTCAAACATTCACTTTATTTGTTATCCATTTAGAGCTAATTGGACAAGAATGTAAATTATTTTTTTAGTTATAGTGATAGGTCAAATATTATATAAATGTACAATACAAGATCTCTTTAAGCGCCCCTGTTGCCTATATGTCATCTTCAAGGTTGTTCATCAAGCACAAGCAATTGCTCCCTCAATTTAAGCCACTGGGTTTTATTTGGAGAAATGATTTGAATGTTATGATATAGCTTATTTGTCTCGTGATTCGATTTAATCGATTATCGTTAGCAACTGGCCAACGACTAATGATTATACGAAGAACTTTCCCCTTAATAACTCCCAATTTCATCATTTTGTAGTAGCATCTATTTCTTCGCATCATACAGAAGCACAGGCAGAACTACCGATTATACTAAATGCTTGAAAAGACTGTGTATATTTGAAAACTTCAACAAAAAAATAAATGTTCAAATATATTATTTGAATATTTATAATGGTATATATCTAAAATGGAATTTTAACAGTATTATAAACTGAACTAGCTTTATACTAAATCACATCATTTGGGGTTTTCAATTATGAATATGTTTTTTAGCTTCGTTGTTTACATTTGCAAATTTTATACAGTAATCCTGTTGAATCCAGTTTGTATATCATATTTTTATTTGTTTTGTACAATAGTTGTACTTCGTTTCTCCACAAAAAACCATAGAGCACAACTTTTTATTCAAAGTGTAGCGTAATCACAGGAATTATAAGTTTTTTGTATTTCATATGTTGAAGTTTCTCATTTCTTTCTATAGATTCGAAACATATTTTAATTTTCTTCTAACATTAGAACGGTTAAAGTTTAAAAATTTGTATGTAATCGTTCTGAAACCTTCATATTCATTTATCTACTAATAATTACTATATTATTAGATTTTCATAAATCATCATTAATTATTAACATTAATATATTAATTTTAACTTAATTATTAATGTAAATACAAAATACAATATGCATCTGTTTAAAATTACTGGGTGTAAGGTGAAACAGCTGTTATTTCAAATTAAAGTTGTTGTATAGTAATTTAGATTTGTACTACTTTAATTTAAAAATAAAACGATGATTACATAAGTGAACTAAACAAAAAGTAGGCGTGGCAGTTATGTAAGAGTATACAATCTCTGAAAATGTGTTAATTATGTACTTACGTTTACATAAATTTGACCCATTCGAGATTTTCAATTAATAAACATTTTTTATTTGTAATAATCAATTTAATTTTAATGTTAAGTTCTTACCGAAATATTTACTAGAAAATATTAGAAGATTTTAGCAAAAAATTTTAGTCTTTAATAGTTATAGTCCTTAATATATAAAAAGGTTATTATGCGTAATACAAGAAATCAATTTTTAATAATTTAAAATATTTCTATTCAATTGAAACTAAAATAAGTCTAATAATTGTTAGAAGATACAAAAATTATTAATTGTAATATAATTAGGTGATATCTAAAAACAAAATTGAAATGTATTATTCTAAAAGTAACAGCATTTTATTTATTTAGTGGGTACAAAACCAAATAATGTCTCATTAATTTTTTTCTATAAAAAAAATATATATACATACTTAAATTCTGATATGTATCAAATTGTTATATATGTATTATTTGTTTAGTATTGTTAATAAATGCAATTTTGGGGTAGTAAGTGAATACTAAAAATAAAACAAAATTTTAAAACGCATTCAAAATTAATTAGTTTCAAAATTATCATCTGCAGAGACGTATGATCAAAATATTAATAAAATCTTAATTTTAAGTTATACAGCTTCTTAATCAATTCGGGTATTTAGTTAAAATATAAACATTTTTTATTTCCCTTACTTTTGATTTAAATTAATTTCTGTTTTTATACAATGTAGTAATGTATTAAAGGGGCAAATTAATGTTTCGCAGCAGAATATTTGATAATAAAGTTCTCCTTACAAGAAGGAAACAGTTTTGGACCTACATATGTAGTTTGAAGTAAAATAATTAATAAATGTACAATAAATATGCAAATGAAATTACTTATAACATCTTCAGTTTCAAATAATATATTTATTTATGTACAACTATTTCCTGATGTTTTGTATTAAATAATGGTACAACACCTTTTTTTTTCGTTTTATCAATAATTTTTGAATTTCAAAATTACATATTTTGTTATGAAAAATACATGTTGTTATATTAATATGTTTTAATTAGAATCACTATCTAAAAATATTAAATGTATTGCTGATGGTGTCATTGTAATAATTTTATTCATATATGTATGTTATTTAACTTAGAGTTTGAATTTCCTTGAAATAGCTCTAATAATGAGGTAATTAAAGATTTATCTAAACTTTGATTCAAATAGTGCATTTTAAATAGCTTTGTATTGAAGATTATTTTGTAAAACTTAAACTAATTGTTTTATTTTCTGTGTTTATCTGTAGTACTCTTCTAACATTACTTTAAGAATATCTATCTTTTAGCACCAGATTATTTAAATTTTCACCTCTTTCTACATACTAACTATGCATTAATTATTATATAAATATAGATTTTTTACTATCTACTATGTTAATAACGAGTATATATGGCAGGTATATTTTTTCAATATGATATTATTTCATATTATTCATAATTCTAAATTTATAAAATAAAGTTGTGTATTGCAAAATTACAAAGATTTTTATTGATCAATTATACTATATAATTATAAGTGATTTATTCACATTGTAAATGCATTAACATTAGGTTTTAAAATATATTTTTTAAAATTACTTCCAAAGCACTGGCAGATTTATGTAGCGAAAAGAGCTTTTCTTTAATAATGAAAAGAGCTTTTAATTTAATATTTTCATTGATTTTCTATATTCATTGAATATGTTCACATGCGTTCAATGCACTGTCTTAAAAGGTTGGGAAAATTTTACTAATATTAACAGTGTGTAAAAAATTATAATCACCTTATACATCTATATTTAAATGAAATAAAGTAGATTATATAATTTTTATAAATAGAGTAATTACATAAATATATTAAGTATACTTTCCCCCATAACTCCCACGCCATCTTTTTTATTTTATAATTAAATTATAATAAAGTTGAGTGTTTCCAAACGCGGACTCAAAACTATATTTTAATTAATACATTTATTTTAGTCTTTTCTATAAAACACTGAAAAAAAAAAAATATTTGTGCTAATCAACTATATTTGATTTCTCATTTTTTTAAACGCTCAAAATCAAACCATCCCCGCAACTGATTGAATGATTGATTTACAAAATTGTTACACCAACAAATTAAACAAAAATATTTAACTGATAAACTGATCAAATAACTGATACAAATATTTTAATAATTCGTAAAAATATGAAATTATTTGTGCAATCCTCCACATATGCAAAAATTGATTTTTCATTTTTATGCATACATATGCATATGTATGCGTCTGTCATATGTATATATGCGTATGTATGCGGGTGTACTATTTTGCTATTTGGAACGTTTGCAAATTGATTTACTTCACACAACTCTCAACAGATTTCAGTACCGGTAAGAAATGTGTTATATATTATTTTTAACTTAATGGCTTTACTTTTTCTGATTATGATTTTAATTTTTCCCTTTGTTTTTAATACATATGTACTATACTTTATATTTGATCATTATATATACATTTTAATTTAAATCTAACAAAGCCAAACTAATAAAAATTACAAAAGAAAAAACATCGCATTCTCGCTCAAATGATCTCTGACGTGCAGCACTGCGCGTGCTGTGCGCGAGGCATTTGTGTGCAATATCTAAATATCTAGTTCTAAGCCAACATAAGATGTTTGTAGACAAATATCTGAGGTTAATGTTATTAAACTTAAAATTTAAGTTAGTTGTATTTTTTTTTTTTTTTTTTTTTGTTTGTGGTTTCATATTTAATTGTAATTATTAAAGATTTGATAGTTCGAATCAATAGTCTTAATAGTTTTAAACAGAGTTGCAAGGACACTACTATTGGATTTTTTTATGTATTAAGTCACTAACATATGTATGTATACATTATTAATGAAAAAATTACCTCGTGTGAAATGTATGACAGAAAGCAAAGTTAAGTATAATGAATATTAGTTACTTGTAATTTAATGTCACGATATTTGTTGTAATTGTATAGTTTTTGTTATTTGGTTTTGTTAAATGCATATGGAGCTATAAGAAACATTTAAAGTTCGTGTATGAATATATATGTATTTTATTTTGCATAAAACTATCACGTCTAAATAAACACAGAAGTATAATCCCATATTAAGAAAGACTTCAGTTCTACATATACATATAAATTTAATTATACTTACGAATACGAAAATAATTAGTTATAGAATTTTTTTTAAGGCTTTAGTTCCATCTACACAATAAAGATAATAAAGTGATATAAATTTAAACAAAGTAATAATTAATCATCATTTACATATATAAATTAAATGGGTTAAGAGACTCATTTCATAAATTTCTTGACGTTAAAACGGTTACCTTATTGGTAGCGATATGTTTAAATATGTGCAATAGGTATTTTCGCTATAAGTTATATGTTTCTACATATAACATTCGTAGTACAAAAGCTTTTGCACCTATGGAATTATAGTTTCAATATATTAATCACAATAACCTTTTCAAAAAATTGCTTATTTTTTTTAAATTAGTGTTTAGTTAGTTTAACTATTTGAGAGTCTACTTTTGCAAAATTATCAGAGAATGGCAATTTTACTCACATAAATATATATATTTATAAATTTAACTAACATATATCATTTATCACGATTTTTGTATTAGTTCAAAACGCAAAAATCATATGCTGTATTTTAGTGTAACAAATTCAAAAAATTATTATTTTATGAAAAACTTTATACAGTTATTTTACAAAGAGTTGAATATCTTAGCACATAAAAAGTGCTTTTCTCTGTTCCGTTTTTAAATAAAATGATTTCTAATAAGTATTCGTGATAGTGGAATAAGTTATCATAAGAATATCATAACAATTTAATTGAATCGTCTAATTTTTATCATTACCTAATTGACCAATACACAATTTTTTGTTCGTAACATTAAAATATACACTATTTCCATTTTAAAAGATTATTAATTAATTTAATTATGACGAATGAAAAATTAATTATGACGAATTTGTTAGAATTTGTTGATTTGAAATAGAGTGCGATCGTTGTTAAAAGCTGTTATTTTGAAGACAAATATGATGATTAAATGGAATTATGTGCCAGAGTTTTGATATTTCATTTTCATTTATAAACTTATGTATTGTTAGATTATTTATATTAGTTTCGGTTTGACAAAATATATATGATATGAGAATAAATATGATATTAGAAATAAATTAACTAAACACAACGGAATGTGCTTAGAAATGTTATTTTTACGCAAAAGTTTGAATTTAATTAAAGAAAAATTTGTAATTTTTGATTGTATTTGGCAATTTTTTCGGTTAAAGCACCTAAACTTTTAAAATAAAGCTATTTATTTTTAAGATACCTTAGTTAGTACTTATCCTTTTATTAAAAAATTTCTATTCATATTGCTTAAAAATTAAGTTAAACATAAAATACGCAAACATATCTTTTAAGAGAATTTTGAAAAATATTAAATTCATGAACATAGCTCTTACAAAATCTGAATCATTTTCTTTTGTCGATTTTTTGAACTTTTTGGGCTCATGTGAACGAAAACTTATATATTAAAAAAGTGTTATAATTTTATGATTGTTTTTTTTATTTATATGGCCAACGATATGAAGTTTTTTTTTGCTTCTTCTTTAAGGCGGGTTATAGTAACAGCTAATAAACTAAACTTTATGTTTAATCGTATTTCAAAAAAATTTTGTAAAAATTTTGCTTCAAATGCTGACTAAATATGGTTTTTGTAATTATAAACAAACCAAAACAAAATATAGTGCTTGTATACAGGTAGGTACGTCATTTTATGAGTAAAGAAGAAAAATGTTTATTTTCGTCGTTAGTATTACTTTGTTTTTTGTTTCTATTTATAGTTTATAGTTTGTAAGTAATTTTAGGAAACATTGGTAGATATTGCATTATATTTACCAGTTGTTAATTTACCCATTTACCCCCGCTATGACGAGGAAGTCAAAAACAACTTTAAATTATTAAAATAATTCAAATTACAACAATATCTTTTATTATTCATATATTTGTGAATGACAAACATGAATTTTTAACATTCTGTCAAATTCTATACAGATTTTGGAGCTATTTTTATTGCAAAATCGTATTAATGTTTTTAGTTTTTTTTAATGATATTGCGTAGTAAATGTAAAATACTTAATTTATAATTTATCTTTCATACATTATTTTTTAACTTGATATAAGTAATAAATAACGCAAAATATGGTTTTAACGTATTGGAAGCTCTAAATGTTATATGAAAATATTTAGTTATTGGATTTAAAAAATTGCTTAAAATGAACGGAACTACAATTAAAGAAAATTAAAAATTCACCTATCCATCTTATTTTAACGTATAGTATTCATTACTCCTTAGACTCAGTCAAACCGATATTAAAAAATTAGCGTATTATATTTATTTCGTTTAGTACTTAGTAACAATTTGAAGGAACTTTTATGGTACGTAAATGGCCAATGAATCTCACTCTGAGCTAAATATTTAAGTATTATCGTAAAACCAACCTCTAAATTCAGAAGAAAGCATCACCAAATAAAACACGTTGCATTGACGGTTTAACTAAGACTAACTTTATTCTTTATTTATACTCACCTAATATAATCAAATAATGGGTATGTACTTAACATATGTAGCAATGTTGTGGAGTGATTTTTATACAAATATTTATTTTAAAAATACAAAGCATTACTTCCTTCTGTGCGCTTCATCTGAATTAAGCATTATTGTTGGGATTATTTATTGAATAGTTATAATCCAGCGATTGACAATGCTGCTATTCCAGCTAGTATTTCGCTTATATGAATAATTTGCTTCTACATCCAACATTTGATGGTCTCAAATACTGAAATACCGTACACTTCACCCAACTTTGTTTTCTATAGCTTTGCTCACCTATGTCTGGTCTAACTCCAATTCTAATTAAAGAAAAGCTTTTGAACTCCAATTCTAATTCTACGATGGTAGCTACATTTCTATCATTATATTCAATAGTGGTTTCTAATTTCGTCTCGACAACAAACAATTTTTCTTATTTTTGTATTTAATACGCTTACTTCTTTACAGAGTTTTCTGATTAAATTAAAAAAATAAATTCTCAAAAGTTGGTAGTTGGCTAATGGTTCATATCTAATGCGTGTTAATTGCCAGCGTTAACATCATTGCAAATTTGAAATGATCTATCTGGTTTGTTAACTAAAATGGTTGGCCTGACTCAATCGCTATAATTTATTAGAAAACAGTTCTATATTTTTTACACTTCTTTTTATCTAATTTATCTATCTATACTATCTAATCACTATCACTATCTAAATTGCTATCAGATGTTACAAACACAGATTGCTTTATTTCAAACTTAGAAAGTTTGAATAAATTTGCACCAAACAAATTATTTCCATTTTTCACTTCATCTTCGACTAAAGCTATATTTATTTATTTTAAATTCACCCAAAATTGGAATATACTTCTTACCGAATACTTATAAAATAGTTTCTGTCGGTTTATTTGATAATCTGCTTCTAAAGAAATTATTGGCACCGACACTGGGGTGTTCCTTATATTATTATTAAATTATTTAATTTAAAATAAACGAATTAAATATTTAATTTTTATTATATTAAACATTTTCAATTTCATTTGCGTTTTTGTTTAGATACACAGTTTATATTTTTGACATTTCTGCTTTGATTATTGGTAATATTTCGTTTAGCCGAGAGGCACACTGGTTAAATATTTTCCGTTAGTGGTGGTTGCTTATCTGAATTTAGAATTTTCTCTCTCATGATTTTTACGCAACCAGAACAAGATTGTAATATTTTATTACATCCATCTTTGTTACATTTAGTCCACATATTGCATTCCCCTTATTTTTAAATTTAATTTATCATTTTTGTGTACACACTTTATATGAATATTTTATTAAATAATGTTAATTAATTATTAATTAATTAATTAAGTTTAAAGTTAATTAAGTATGAGTTCCAGTTCTGCACATCTTACTAGATCTATATAAAATTATATTTTTTAAGAAGCAATTATTTCGAAAATTCATGTTGGTGGCTTTTAGTGGATAAACATAATGTAGACTGAAGGCTATCCGTATTACAAATATTAGTGGTTGTAAGAATCAAAATTTTAAACTGATCCTGTCTTACAATGATAATTGATGTACGATCTCAGAATTCTATAAAAGAAATTATAGTCAGTTCACATTGTCTTAATAACTTATGTTTATGGCAATTATGATGCCTATGGATATCAAAAAAGCACAACATCCTTCTTATCCTTCGTATCAAATACATAAACTATATCTTTCTCCACTTAAATTTTAAAAGCTTCTATTTTCCCTGCTA